AAGATAAAACATAAGTTAAGTCGGTACAATTACGCCTCCCGATAATAACGTTTCTTGACATATGAAAGAGCAATTAGTGCAATGTACCATTGGAAGGCAACGGTCGAACAGAATATTTTTGTTAATTGTCTGCTATATTAATTTTATGTTTTATACAAGGAAGTTGTTTCTATGACCTTTAAAAGGGAAGTATGACATACCCTTATTGCCAATAAATGTATCACTGGATTCCTAAAATAAGGTACTATTGGGAATTATATGTTATAAAAAAATATTTACAATGTTTTGAATAAAATATGTGTCATCAACTAATGTAGAATTTATTTCTATATATAGACATGTACTTACATATTTTACATTGTGCAATTTTATTTTAGCTAGAGTGTCATTGATTAATTGCTTTTTCTTTAATTATTTAAAGGTTGAAAATAATGCATGATGATACATAATACTGAGGGATATTATTGCAAATTACTTTTTTTAAAATATTTATTTATTTCTTTTTTTTAGAAATAAAAATGAGCGGAATTGTTGTTGGAACTTCCTACGTTTGCACATCAGTATAGTATGGACAGATCAGTCAATACCCCCTTTTAGTTTGTTATTGGTTTTTAAAAAAGAATAGTAATGGATTCAATTAAAAATATGTCAATTGTAATTTCTTTTTTTAGACGTACGACCAAAATATATTTTAATTGAGATGCGATCTCTAAAGAATGCAACATATAATTTACAACTATCAGTGCATAAAAGATTAAAGATATGCCGGTATTCAATTAAAAAACGCATGCTTCAATGCGTTGTCTGGTTTGTATGTTATAATGAGTATACAGATAAAACGTATCTAAATGAAAGCATTTTAGGAGGTAAAAATATTTTGACGTTTTGGAACCAAGCAGCAAAAATTTATATTTGAAAAGATGTAATAACGACAAAACTTTTGCCTAGATATCGACAGAAATAAATTTTAATGTAGAATAAATAACGAAATTATTGATCCGATATAACGATATTAATGCATTTATAAACGAGATGGCTGCATTATCGTAGAGTATAAATTGACATGTATGTATGATACTAAGAAGAACATTAATATAACCATAATGTAGAAGAAATAACAACACACACATGAATGCAACACAAGTATAAGCAATATAAGAACATTAACATAACCCCGAGTAAGATATTAATGAAGACCATGAGCATACGAAATTACTTTAGATACTATAACCATATTTTAAACTACATATACAAGATTCGTGTTCTAATATAGAAGGGACGACGACAAAAAATTGATGCTGATGTATAATGTCCATTTACTTGAAAGATTGCAGGTAAACGTTTTGTTCCCTAAATCAGCATTACATTTTATCTATTCAACACAAAATTTGATGTTTTAATTATAAAAAATTCAATTAAATCTATAATCTTTTTACTGACATTATATCATAACAACAGCTTCTTCTCCTTCTTCCTCTTCTTCTGTATCATATACTTCACCATCATCTTCACAATCTTATTCTTATTCGAGAATCTTTATCGTATCTTTAGATATACCTACAGATAAAGTTTGAATAATGGAAATATAAGAGATTTAAACATTTCAAATCATACGTATGAAAATTTCAAAATAGAGATTGATGGCTTCTTACCTTTTATATTTCCCTTTAATAAAAGTAAGGCTTACAACATGTAAGAAGCCAAACTTGTGTGTAAAAATGTAGTTGCTAATTAGAAACTTTCAAGAAAAGAGACCTAAGAAAGAGGTTTTAATACACGTTATCTGACGAAAGTTTAAATTGACTTATATTTTCCATGTAGATCTGATGACCGTCGTTTATGTTTCGCCTTCCGAGAAAACTATTTTTATCATTGCAATCAAACCAGTTTTTACAGATAGCCATTAGAAGAAGAATCAAAATTACGGAAGCCCTGGAGGGACATTTATTATTCAAAATTTAGTACTTAAAATTTATTACTTATTACCTATTATCTATAACTTATAACTTATTATTTAAAGATTATGACATATTATTTACATATTATCTGAACCGCGCTATATTTGGCGGGAGAAACAAGATGTTTTAATTGAGGCGATGACCGAAAAGGATGAAGTTGAGGATCAGTTACAGATGGTATGTATGATACATTAATAAGTCAATAATTAAATGTAACTGCACGCTGTTTAGAATAATTTCTACTTTATTGAAACCTTTTTGTGGACGTTAAGTAGGAAACAATTTTTCTTGTTCTCAATTTTGTTGAAAAAAAAAGAAATGTCCCGATTACAGCAGTAGGTACATTTTTGTTAGAAGAAAAATGGTTGGAGTTGTTTTAAAAAATCAACTTGAAATAATTTTAACTTTGTCAATTTTTAATATATAAGAATGTTTTGCTAGTTTACCTTTCAGCTTTATGGACAACGTCATCTTTGTTCTTGAAATCGTGAAAATAACCTACACAGTTTTTGTTTTCAAAGGGTTAAAATTAGAAACCGCACCGCGTTGAAAAGAATGTAAAACCGCCAATGATTACGGTTATCTATACAACGGGCCTCCGGACGAATTTATAGTTTTCAAAAATGATTAATAAAATAATGACGAATTTGGTTTTTTTTGTTTTTGTTTGTTTTGTTGATGTTGTTGTTGCATGCGTGCGTGCGTGCATGCGTGTGTGCGTGTGTGTGTGTGTGTGTGTGGCAAATGACATTGAGGAACAAAAACAACTTTTATAAGCCTTTTTCTTTTGAAACGCATAGGCGATGAAGTCATGACAATGTAATTTTATACGTGTATAAAACAAAACAATATGAAAAGAGTAATATTATACGGAAAATAGCATTTAATGTGATTAAATATATAAATATAAAATTGATGTGGTACTTATATAATATATGTATGAGACAATATTGTCAAAACAGAACTATTATGATTTACTTAATTTGGTAATAATTTAAAATAATAAGATATTATAATATTGTGTGTGCCGATATGAAATAGTGAACGAATAAAGAATCATTGTAACATGTAGACAAAGATCGTTATTGTGTATTTTGTGAAATTGCGTTTGTCAGATATATTTTTATTTAATTCTATATCATCCGAAACAAATTATAGGTACATGATGTTTTGCACATAAACATTCCTTAAAATCTGATAAAGCAAGGTATTGACCTGTTGTTGTTTATTCCGATAGACGCAAACGTAAACAAGTTTCAATTAACATGTTTAATTATTTTGGACGAGTATGTTTGACAAAAGATTGATTTAGCAAAACATAGCGATTTACAAAGGCTTCTATTTGTCAATCAATTTGATACACTTCAATGTTGAATAAACTATCCAATACGTTAGGCTCGATTTATCTAAGATACGATTGGCTATCAATTCTGAATGTATTTTCTTAACTTTTATCATTAATAATTTACTTCTACAGTCTCTTAATATGAAGGTATATAAATTTATGCAATTGATGATTTAATAATTGTATCAATTTCATTACTCAAATTTGCCAGTTGAAAGTAGTTTATAAAACAATACATTGTCTATATGTCGGCTATTCAATAGGGACATGACTTTACTTGATCATAAAATCGCAAATGTTTTTTATAGAGATTCATTGCTGTCAAGAAAAACCACGACTTTAGATAAAAAAAAACATAGCACAAATATCCCACTTTATTTCTTCCCCATAACCAATCCTTTTTCTCCCTTAATGCAATACATTCTAATCAAATTCAAATCGAATACAATATTTTCAATTAAGATACAATCTCAGATGTCCAGTCATTCCCCTTGCCAATAACAATTACGTAATTTTCCGTCTGTATCTTTTAGATTTAATGAAAGAAAGATATCATTTTAAGTACACAGAACTCGGTTCTTGCAAATTGTTTGAGTAATTGATATGGGTCAATAAAAACACTACTTTAAACGCCATGATAGCGCTATTAATTACCCACACATTTGACAACAAGTACAAAAACGGAGGACTAAGTAGATGCATGGAGACAAAATCACAGACTGAATTGACTATTCCAAATTTTAAAGGTTAATTTGTTTATGTAGGGAATATTTAAAGGTTTGTTTATACGACAAAATAATTCTCTCGTTTGCTACTATACGACAGCGCATGAATGCTTAATTTTAATCAGAATGAATATTTTCCAATACATGTCAAATCTAATTATTAGTAGATTTACATTTTCTGAATTTCCATAGCCATTTTGTACAGTGTTAATACCAATAAGCCATCACTGTAACATGTCAACAATTCACAAAAGAAATCTGACAAACACCATTTTAGTCAGGAAATAAATGCCAAACATAAGTTTTCTCTTTCAACGATTATAATTGTTTAAAAGTGTTCCGATTATGTATAGAAGGTCAAATATCTGGAAAAAAAGTGTAAAAACAACAAAATTACATGAAATTTGCAGACTCGATTACTAGAGAATAATGAAAAAGTGCAACATCCCTTTGGTTTACCAGATTTATTATATGTATGATCCTTAATGTTGCTGGTAACTTCATGTATTGAGTATTTGTACTTTGTACTGATTTGCCATCAATCCTAACTTAACTATTTTCGAGTACAATAAAAGTTATACTGTTTTGAAATGAAATCTTATCTCACAACTAACATAGTAACTAACTTGTAAGAAGAAACTATAAAATAAATAAATAAGAAATATTCATTTAAAAACTTTATTTCACAAGTTTTGATTCATTAACAACAACTGAACATTCAATAGTAGACAAAATGATAATATGTTGAGAAATGCTTGTGACTGATAATTGATTCAACCGTGTTGCTATGGTTATGTACAGTGAAAATGAGTGTCCGTAATTATAGAACAATATATATAAATGCTTCTTTTGTTAGACTGAAAGACGAAAACTCCATATTTATTCATTTATTTATTTGTTTATTTATTTATTTATTTGTCGAACCTATTTTAATATTTGCCTTTTCGAACCCTCTTCGATTATCTGTATGTGTTGTATAATGATACGCTAAAATATATTTTGACAAAGGGTCTTACGGTGGCTACAAATACGACCAGTGCAGATCAAAATAACATCTGTGCTGGTATTCATGATCTGTACTGTTTGCTTTTCAGTCACTATCGATTTTCAAGTTTTCCCTTAAACATGATGAATAGTTTTGTCACAACAAAAAAACTGGAAAAGTCCATTTAAGATAGTATACGGGCAATGGTTGACATAACTTTTGCCCTCCAATTTAATTATATATATATATATTTGTCTTGACTAGATAAATGTATTTTGTTCCATTTAAGATGATATGTACAATTGATCCCTTACTGAATGTTTAAAGAAACAACATAAATCTCTTTTCAAATACATAAAACAAAAGAAGCAACATCGAAAAATAATTCATAAATTAGTTAAACGACGAAACCAAAAAATGTACACACTTATAACTAACTATCAGTCATGTTAATTCATCTGTTCCATTGGAACATGGTAATATTTTATTAATTCATGGAATTTTGCACGAATCCGCTCAAAGTCTAAACATGATATTCATCCTTTCTGATCCGTTACAAAACAGCAGATCTGGTGTGATTAAGGTTAAAAAGAACACGGGTGCTTTTCATCATAAAAATATGCTATCAAGATAAGGTCCAAGCAAACTAATTCCTGTAGAATATTAATATATTCAGACTTTTTAACATAATATATTAAACCTTTGAAGTTCGAAAATGATAGTTTTGGAAATTATAAAAGAACACTATCCAATGGGATAGGACATGTCTATTTCAGAATTTTTGTTCAAATTTGAATCACAAAGTCAAGTCTAATTTCAATCACATTATTCATATAAATCCCAATACTCTTCATTTGATACACTATATATTTATGTGCAATTCATTTTTCTGAACAAAAGAAAACAAAACCAAGACAACAAAACAAACATGAATTTTGAATTTGAGTCAATGAAAAATAATCTATTTTCAAGTCATGAATTGTTTTGAAAAATAATAACTTTTTAAAACATAATAACAACAAACAAGTGTGAGATATTGTTCCTTCTAAAATGATTGAATGCTTTGAATCGTATATTTGACTATTTACAGTTCTACAAAAATGATTGTTCCTCATTGCCAACGGCTATAATTCTGTATACGCTACAAAATAACGTCAATGTTTCATATACACGTACTTTCAATGCTCCACATGAAGAAATATAACGTATTGCACAGTTTGAGCATAATGTTTACATAAACAATGTTATCACTTCACAGACATAAAATACTTTCGTAATTTAAATACACTACAAAATATCACACGTGTTTTTATTTTCGATAAAAGTGATAAAAACCTTTGAATGATACAACTCGCCATTGCGAAAACAAACTCCAAGATACATTAAACTGTTATCTGCTTTCGCGACAGTCACTCTGAAGTTAAATAAATAGGTCAATAAGGACACATTTCGGTATATTCCTGCCATAGAATAATTTGCTATGTATATATCCGAACAAGTCGTCACACTTCACATGTGTTAAATGCTACACATTCCTTTCTTCATGTAATAACACATAAGCTGGAAGAGATTTTCCCAGGCACGTTCGTGTTCCTCTGTCCACATGTTTTCAAGATGGGGTTTAATGGAAGATATAAATTGTGGCCCCATCAGCTGAAATATAGATGCACATTATGAAACTGGGATTAAGGATAAATACGTTTGCTCGGTGTTACAGCAATGCTTTATAATCATGTAGAATGTCAATTGTATTTTGTATACATCGTAAATATCTTACAATTCAGATTCTTTTGAAGGTTGCACGTAAAGTTAATGTAAAAATAAACAAAGTTTAGGCAATTTTTTATTGATATTTTTCATATAAGATATTGAAAGTTGCTTAATCTAACACGGCCCCTTAACACATGCTTCTTTAAAATATCCAAACACTTTATGATACTTAAAATGAACGTCACGCAATTCACTTCTCTCTGTATATACATTTCATGCGAACTAATAATCCCTTAAACCGGCACATTTTCCGGCATCGTCATTTTAGGAGGTCTATTAATAAAGGGACCAAACCAAAGACATCTGTTAATTTTTGTCATATAGCATTGAGTTTATCCGTTACTAATTGAGTATAAAGATTATATCATACTAATTGTTTCATTTCATTTAGAAGTTGAATGATACAATGGTTAAATAAAATCACAAGAACGCGCTGCTGGACTTTTGTATATGAATAAAACAATTTTGACTTTAGTTCATACAATGTGGCGTGAAAGATATGTTACCATAACAGTTTGTGCCTCTGTTTCAATTTATTCCAACCATGCTATATTTTGCCTATATACTTACAGCAAGGTGTGTGATTAATTATACCACACAAACCTCTTAGCGATTAAACGGATTACTCATGCAATTATTAAATTACAATTAAACATATAACGAACATATGACGCTGAAGTCGTACCATAAATTATTTTTAATGCCTGCAGATATCGCCTGATAAGACAATTAAATACGTCCTCTTGTAAAATGCTCTATAAAGGGGACAGAGAAATTACAACAGAATATATAATGTTAATAACCCCTTTTTATGAGGTTTATGGAAATAAATCATAAGTTAATTTGTTTAAAGATCCTGTACGTTGTAACTACGGTTGCAACCACACTTAAGTATTTTATGTACTTTATTATATATATTTTATGCTTGTAAAACAATTTTCAAACATCAAAAGATATGTAAAATATGTACTGCAAATATTTGTCCACATTATATGTAATAAGCACAAGTAAGTAGAACTTACATCGATGTATTCTATCTTAACCGAGTAGTTCTGGTGTCGTATCCCAAGGTCCATCATCAGATCCCGCAACTTCTCGCGGTTATCCAGTCTATAAATACATTTGTCGACTGTGCCCATAACTCTCAGCGCATGCGCACGTAGAATGTGATTGTACTCGAGGTCGGATGTATTCTTGGTCCGGAATGACATAAACACATTCTGAACTTCCGGATGTGTCTCAAACAAACTGGAAATAGACAATAAACCAACTGATTAATATTAATATATTTTCTCTCTCATATTGATAAAAATGTCATTTTTACCTTCTACTTCTTAAGAAGCTTGCTTTTTGACAGGAAACTATGTACTTGAATGCTTTAATAAAGACATGTTTTCATAATTCACAGATTATAACATTTTCCAACACCTTTGTTAACGTTTCGTTTGATGTGAAAGCTTAAATAAAATTGTTTTTTCTTTTTTGGTAATATATTATTAACATTAAAATCTACACGCAACAAACACTGCATTGCAAAAGCACTCATAAAATACATAAAATGCTATATATTATATTCATTAAATGCCAGGTGTTGCCGAAGATATGGATAAATTAAACTTTTATACGATTCAATTGATACTGTTTATTCATTCAGATATCGAGTTACTAATTTTAAGAATAATGTATATTAAGTAATTATTTACAATAATACTGGCATTATTATATACCTGATGCCATTTAATCTGGTCACACTTAAAATAATATGGTTCACACACTTAAAACGTATTTATCTGTTTTCTTAGCCAATCCAAATTACTCAACAAGGCACATAAAACTGAGTGCACAAAGGCCTAATATCTGCTTCTTACAAAACCACAATATGTAATAAACAAGAATTCATTCAAATAATTCTGGTGAGTTTAACTAACTTGTTCTGAATCAGGGTGGAATAAGTCATTAAGATATGAACACAAATGTTTAATATCATATTTTAATAGCTTTGAAGTAAAGACATATTCTCAAAAAATTACATGTTTACCGTCCTTCGCTGAAGACTGAATACGCAAAAGAATATGATAAACAAGATAATAAAGGAAGGGTGGCGTTCAATTCACCGCAATGTTTTTTCTCTATGATTTCTCTTTATAACACTTTTTTGTCGTACTAGTCTAGCTTATATGTACTCGTAACTTAATATATCATTATTACACCTTTATGGGAATGTCCTAGGGATTGTTAAATACAGCATACGTGCATAGTATTATGTTAAAATACATTGCCCATTGATTAAGTTTTATAAATTATATGATCAGCAGCTGAAGGAAAGCTTTGGTGCAGCATATTCATTTTTATTTTTTTGTTCTGTTATTACATGGGTAACTGCTGTTTAAGTGCTTATTATTTTCAACTTGATCACGATTGATGATTTTCGGCATAAGATATTAACTTAAAATCTAAGATAAAAAGATAACTTTTATTGGGTTGTTACACAAGTGAAATTTATTCAAATACACGTACATTTACAACACCCTGAAAACTTTTTTATCTCAAGGCTACTATTTTCCTCTTTTGTATTAGAAGTATATTCTTTATATAATATAGGCTATATCTGACTTATCAGAATTCACTTTACAATTTATCAGTACATTGTGATTTCGTTATAAAATAATGTATTTTAGAATAAAAGAAGGTTTTTTATACCAGTTATAAATTTTGCCCAAAATAAGAAATATGGTCCATATATAAAATAGCACACTCAACACAAATCAACTCGTAGTACAGTTGCTGGACTAACCCTACCGAGAGTACATATAACAAGCCTTTCAATAAATTGCGCCCATTTTATGCCCTATGTGCAATATTTTCCTTCTTGTTAATATTGATATGCCAAATAAAA